CAACCTTAGTAAAGATCGTCGCAGAGCTTTTCCCATATTACAAAAGCGCCGTCCCTGGGATTCGAACATGGGATCTTTCCATAACGTTTGGTGAGGGTGACAACTAGACCACTTCACTAAGTCGCCACACTTCTTGTTTTTTAAGTCTTTATATAATTTAGGAATGAATAATGTTTAATTTTTTCTTACGGACAAAGATTATATACAAATTTCAGCTACACGAAAAATTTGGGTAAATGCTAAAATACAAATTTGTTTGTGACATGTTAAAAGGGCTTTAAAGAAGCGTCTTGCAGATAATACACCTCCAAAAGTTATTGCATATAGTTCTTCTTCAGCAAATCAAGTTTTTGAATTTATTGATATAGAATTTTATTCAAAAATTAATGAAATTTCAAAAAAAAATTTTTGCTTTTGCTCTAAAGAGAAATGGACTATAATTATTGATATGGTAGAAAAGCATATGCTTTTATATTCTTTGATACCTAATTTGGATAGAAATTTTTTGCTGGCTCAGGAAATATGGAGACAATCAACATATGAAATTTATAAATTCTGTGTTGATAATGATTTACAATATGTTTGGACATATATGTAGTTAGTATCAAAAAGAAGCTTGGATTTTATGGGCAAAATCTGGAATTCCAGAAAAAATTTGCTTATTTTGAACAACAATACTTTGTGAATCACTACTTACCAAAATTTTTTCGTCCTCGCTTGGATTTAGTAATTTATATTATTATTACTCATATGATTCCTCATAATCAGCATCAATATGATAGATATTTTAATGGTTGTGAAAAACCTTCATGGAGAAAAGATTTTAAACAGGAATGAATTACTTTGCAAAAAACAAAAATTAATAATGCTTATTTTACAAATTCCGAAAATTGGATTTGTTTAGGGTTTTTAAAAAACAGGTTTATGTTATGCAAATATTTAGTTCAAGTATCTAATTTTAATATCACACTATCTTTTTTCATAGTATAAAATGACAAGAAGTTTATCCTTTTATATTTTTACTATATGAAATAATTGTAGATAACTCAAAAGAAAATTTTACCGAATATTTCACAGAAAATTTGCTTTATAGTCCAACTGAAGGTATAATAATCTATTATATATTATGTTATATATATATACTATTTATATTAATCAATTTATTTTATTTTAGATGTCTTAAATGATGTAATTAACTCACAGAATCGGTACAACTTTTTGAAAAATACAAGTCTATATTACAAGATGCATTGGAAATTATTCATGAACAAAAAAATTCCAATAATATTAAATGAGCTCAAGCAGTTCAAAAAAGTTTTGAAGAAATTGAAAGCTTGGTAACAGATATTAAATTGTACAAAAGAAAAGTAACAAATCCAAGAACTTGGAAGAATCATAATAGACACACTATGTACTTACAATAAATAAGTATGTTATTTATATTTGCAAACATTATTATAGAAAACTTGTATCCGTAAAACCTATTATACAATCTAAAGCTTATTCTTTATAACATTTTACTAGAATTGAATTCTTGATCAATATGCATCTCAACCCATAAACCTTATTACTTTTAGACAACTTATAGTGTTTAGTTATAATTTGATTGCTTGTGTAAGATTTTTTTTCTTAAATTTAAACTTAGACAACAAAACTTACTACCAAATATATATTGCAAAGTTCAAGTACATATTATAGTTATAGCAAAAATATAGATATAGTAATAACAAACGCAAAAGTTTAAATAAAAGTAGTTAACACAAGATTTGAAAGTAAATAAATAAAACTATTTTGCAAGCAACATAAAATATATCCAAAATCAACTCTTCCTGATGATCACTTGAACCAAAATTTCCTACAAAAGAAAAGTCAAGTTTGGACACTAGAGAAGTAGAAAAGATTTGTAGTAGGTGGACAACAGTATGGTTTTTATAAAGGTTAACCTTTTGTTTACTTGTAGGGACTTCTTTATATATTCAACATGCAAGCCGAAAGCGTCTTTATACAAGATAACTGGCTGGGGAAGTGTGCTCTTGTATATGA